CCCAACTATACAACTCTTCTCAAAATTCACCTTAAGGTTTGACATTTGCTCAAAAAGTCGTATAGTGAGCTTCAAATTTCTAATCTTGTTAGTGTCCCTTACTTCACAAAAGAGTATGGTGTCATATGCAGATTGCAAATGTGTGAGTGGCATAAGCTCCCTCCCAACTCTCCAACCTCTGATTAAGCCCTTGGAATCTGCTCTATAAATTAGTCTCCCCAGAACTTCAGCTACCAAAGTAAATAAAAATGGAGAGAGGGGGTCTCCTTGCCTAATCCCTCTCAAGGCTGGGAAGAAATCGACCACTGCCCCATTTACCAGTATGGAGTAATGGCAGTTCCTGATACAACCCAAGACCCATCTGCACCAATTATCCCCAAAACCAAAATTGGTCATCACCCCCATGGCAATATGGGGATGCCATGAAGGAGATAAAAGAGCTAAATGGGGAATGGGTTATCAATGTAACATGGGTTCAAAGAACAGCAAATGGGATGGCTGATTGGTTGGAAAAACAAGGAGTAAATCAAGATCAAATTATTTTGGCTGATAGGAAATGAGGATGTAGCAGAAGGTCTGATGGTATATAATACTTCTTTGAGAGGTGGTCTTCTCAGCTATCTAATCTAAGGGATGCTTGGCAACTATGTAAAGGTGGTCCTCTCTTTACTAATGAAATTCAGTTATCCATCAAATAAGGGGGTGCTTGCTAATATGTTTGATTTTGTTTATGAAAACAAGAACAACTGCCACCTCAGCAAAAAAGTATGATTTTACCGATGCATCAATTGTTTCTGTTTTGAAAAACAAAATCATACATATTGATGAATGCCTCCCAAATGTACATAATATGGACCTTTTATTATACATATTCAACTGAGAGCTCAGCCTTCTTAGGCTGGTTTCATTATCTTTTTTCTCAATCAAATTCCATTTCATAGCAAAGGATTTGGGGGTGTCTTTGGGAATGGGGGACACAAAACTGGTTTCATTATCTTTTTGCTAAATTGAATTCCTGTCAAGGTATGAAGATTGCAAAACAACATGGTTATCAACATATGTAGGTAGAGGGGGATTCAAAACTGGTAATAACTTGGATGAATGACAACAACCTGGGAGGATCCACAGGCATATTATAAGTGATCTTAGGAACATAGCAAAGGATTTGGGGGCAACATTCAGATGGATAAAGAGAACAGCAAATGGGATGGCTGACACGCTGGATAAACAAGTGRTGCCTAGGGAACAACTCTTTTAGGCAGGTTTGTAATTGGAGTTCCTTTCAAACTGTTAGCGGGACTGAACTCACTTGTAATAGAAATACTATGTAATTACGCTAATATGCTTCTATTGGAATTAATGAAATGAACCTTTTTACTGATCAATAAAAATTCGAATTCCACTTTAGGCTTAGGCTTGGTTAACTATATGCTGAACAGAGTTCAGGTCCACTTTATGACCTAATCACTCCATTGAGCTTGGCATGGCTACTGGTTGACAGCACCAGTTGTTTTTTGCTCCTTTTGACTACTGGTGGTAAAGCATTGGACAGCAGCTGTCTGTCATTTCAGTTACATAGGTTTGACATTTTAAAAGTATAATTATTTGCTCAATGCTGAGTTAAATTATGCTTTATTGATTCTTTTCTTTTCTTTGTATAGATTGGAAATATATTTTATCCTTGTTCTTTCATGGTACTTGATTCTCCCAACATGGAATTTCTTTTTGGGCTTGATATGCTCCGTAAGCATCAGGTAGCATACTTTTTTATTCTTGTTTTGTGATTTATGACAGAATCTTATAATGATTTCTAATAAAGCAGCTTTGTACAGTGCATAATTGATTTGAAGGAGAATGTCTTGAGAGTTGGTGGAGGAGAGGTTTCAGTGCCATTCTTGCAAGGTGTCTTTTGTTCTATGTGCTAATCTTTGTAACTATTGTATGACTAAAAATACCTGCTTTATAAGTTTATCCTTGCTTGTGTGACTTTTAAATTTTAAGTAGTGTTCTCAAGTTCTATCATTTAATTGGTTGCCTTTTTCTACTTTTCTTCTGCAAATATATTGAAATCCCTAATTATTTTCAGAGAAGGACATCCCATCCCATTTTCTAGATGAAGAAAGGTTTTCAAAGCAAGCATCTGCTTCAGGTTCAATTGCAGTAAGTAAATTCTGACAAATTTCCAAATATAAATAGTGTTCCGATTGTTCATCAGCTGATGAGATGCACTTTTTTATAAAGTTGTTAATATTCTAAGCTGTGTGATACGGATTTGTTAATTTTTTTTTTGAGAAAGGTAAGAATATAATTTCATTACTAACCAAAAAGCATGATTTTTTTTTTGATGAATGAATATAATTTATTAATTCAGAAAAAGGCAGTACAGGGAACCCAAAAGAGGCACGAGCTGTTACCTCTTCAGGGTAGTATTACATCAAAATAAAAAGCAGAATTAGCCATAAATACAATTATAAAGCAGCCCAAAATAAATGTTCCCTTGTAGCCCCCTGCTTAGCTAAACCATCCGCTAAGGTGTCTTCCCACCTAACGAAAGGTAACAGTCATATTTCTTGTAAGCCAGGTGAATTTCCTTAATAAGTCTTTGTGTCGCCACATGGCTGAAGCTGGATCTGTCAGCCATCCCACAACAATTTGAGAGTCTCCTTCAACTACCAAATGCTGAACTCCTAATTGTTCTGCAATCTGAATACCTTGTACCGCTGCCAAAATCTCAGCTCTATTAGAGTCTCCTATTCCCATAGGGCCTGAAAACAAGGCTAATATATTGCTCTCCGTATCTCTCAGCACCCCTCCTATTCCCAATGGGCCTGGGTTTCCTTGGCTGTTGCCATCAAAGTTCAGCTTTACCCATCCTTCAGGCAGAGGGGTCCACACTGCAGAATCCCTGTCCTTCCTTGTATGGCTACTAGCCACCACTATCCAATTTCTTCAAATATCATCAAAGGAAAAAGTATGAAAGAGGTCCATAGTTCTCAACCAATGAATGCAAGCAACGGAATGGCGTGAAAGCCGTTGCTTGTTTCTTCGCATGCCCTAGTTAAGATACAATCCTCAACAACCTGAATGCTTCTTTCCTTTTCCTTGGATATCCTTGCATTCCTTTCTTCCTAGATTGTCCACAATGCGGCTGCTCTAATACATCTCCACATCATTTTTCCTTTTTTTGTAGGCCACACAAAAAAAGAAGGATGACTTAAGTCTGTGGACAAATTCCACCTGTACCCAAACAAAGAAAAAATCCAACTCCAAATAGCTCTAGAAAAGGAACAAGATACAAGTAGGTGGGAGCAATCCTCACCATTAGCCCTGCAAAGTTCACACCAGTTAGGGGATAAACACATGAAAGACCTTTTCTTCTGCAAGCAGTCCAAGGTATTAATCTTTCTATTAAACACCTCCCAGCAGAAAATAACAATTTTAGGTGGAACAAGTCTAAACCTTTTGGATTAGGGGACCATAATCCACTGACTCAGGGAAGAGGAAAGGGACTTAAAAAAGGAAGCACAAGAGAAGTAACCTTTTGGATTAGGGGACCATAATCTCACATCCATACTAAGAGGGTCCAAAAAGACACTGCCAAGAAGAGACAACAGATTTGAGACACTGTTAAGTTCATCATCCCTCAAACCTCTCCGAAAGCCAGAATCCCAAGTTAAGGACGAGGGTGATATAGGAGATGGGAGAAAATGAGAGATAATTTTTTCCTTGTAAAGGGAAATAGAATAGAGAGACGAGAATTGGTCCTTTAGAGCAGCAGTCCCCACCCAAGTGTCTTCCCAAAATAAAACAAGGTTACCAGAATTGACATTATACCTGACAAAGTTGAGAAATTGAGGGAGGATACTTTGGATTGCTTTCCAAGGAGATGTCAACGTTGCTTGTCTTGATACACCCGCATCCCATCCGTTTTCCAGTCTTCCATGTATACTAGCTATCACTTCGTGCCACAACCTCTCCCTTTCTCTAGGCCACCTCCACAACCATTTTCCTAAGAGGGCTTTATTCTTGAGAGTTAACCTACCTAACCCCAGTCCACCTTCCTCTTTTCTCCTACAAACTATTTCCCAATTAATTAAATGATCTTTCTTTTCCTCCCCTAGCTCCCAAAGAAAATTTCTCATTAATCTCTCTAGCTTCTTAGCCTCCCTATTAGGTATCCTAAAAATGGAYAAGAARTAGACCGGTAGGTTCGCTAGGGTTGCTCTCAATAAAGTCACTCTACCCCCTATAGAGATATAGTTTCTTTTCCAAGCTGCTAATCTTTTCTCAAATTTTTCCAAAACTGGGTTCCAAAAACCATTCTCTCTTGGGTTAGAGGGCCAAGAAGAAATGGGACAACCTAGACAATTTGCCACAGATTGAATAATCCCTCATTCATATTGACACTGACCACAGAACTCTTATCCAGGTTTATCTTCAAATTGGAGACCTTCTCATAATGTTGTAACAATTCTCTAAGGTTCCTCACTTTTTGCCCGCCACCTCTTTCATAAAATATTATGATATCGTCAGCAGACTGTAGATGGGTTACTCGGACATTGTTCCCTCCTATCCTCCAACCACTCACTTCCTCTTCCCTATCTGCCTTAGAGATTAATCTACTGAAAACATTTGCAACTAAGGTGAAAAGGAACGGGGAGAGTGGGTAACCTTGTCTAAGGCCTCTACAAGCTGGGAAAAAGTCTTTGACCACCCCATTAACCAAGACTGATTAATGGCAAGAACTAATACAACCCTTTACCCAATTGCACCATCTATCTCCGAAGCCACAACACCCAAGGATCTCTAGTAAAAAGCTCCAATCCACAAGATCATAAGCCTTCTCTAAATCTAACTTACACGCAAAACCTTGATTCTCTGACTTTCTCATGTCCTCCACACACTCATTTGCTATTAATATCTGATCTGTTATTTGCCTTCCTTGCACGAAAGCACCTTGTGCTTGATTAATGATGGATGGCAGTACTACTCGGATTCTCAAAGGCAACGCTTCAGCCAAAATTTTATAGATTCTAGTCACAGGACTGATCAGCCTAAAATCCTTAGGGTCCTTTGCATCTATCTTCTTTGGGATTAGGGCTAAGAAGGTTGCATTAACTCCAGGACTTGCCTTTTTTTATCTGCAAATTCCTGAAACAACCCAACAGTCCTGATAAAAAGCCATTGTGAAGCCATCTGGACCAGGAGCTTTGGATCTATCCATTGAAAACACCGCCTGTCTGATCTCTTCTTCACTAAAATCCCTTTCTAACCAGTTTACTTGTTCTTCAGATATCCTGGTCCACTCCAAATCTTCCAATGTTGGCCTATCATTCAAGGGTTTCCTATAGATCGATTTGAAATTATCCACAAACAACCTTGCTATCTCATCTTGATTTGTTACTTCCTCCCCATTCACCTCTAACTTAGCCACGAAATTTTTTCTTCTCCTCCCATTAGCTAGCGCATGGAAAAATTTTGTGTTCCCATCCCCTTCTTTAATCCATTTATGTCTTGACTTTTGCCTCCAAGAAATTTCCTCTCTCAGAAGGACTTCTTCCAAATCCTTCTTTAAGTTCCTTCTCAACACCTTTTCTTTTTTGCTCATCATCCTTTGGGCTTCTTTGGAATTTAATTCCTCGATCCTAGACAACGAGTTACTTTTTTGCTCCTCTATTCTTCCAAATTGTTCCCTGTTCCACTCCTTGATTTTGGATCTCAACCTTTTTAGCTTTTTGTGGAATCTCACTCCCTTCCACCTCACCCCTCTTAAATCTTCTCTCCATCACTCCCCAATCAAATGCACAAAATCCGGGTGAGTTAGCCACATATTCTCAAATCTAAAAGGCTGTGGACCAGAGGCTAATGTTTCAGGACTTAACTGGATAGGGCAGTGATCGGAAGTGACTCTGGGTAATGCTCTAGCCATCATGTTCCTCCAACGACTCTCCCACTCTTCATTAAAGAGGAATCTGTTTTCAAACAAAGAGGGTTTTCTTGGAAATTAGACCAAGTAAAGTTGGCTTGTAAGAGAGGTAAATCCTTTAGACCACAGTTACTACTAAATTCATTAAACTTTCTCATGCTGGTAGTAACTGTCCTCTGGGGGTTGTTAGATTCATTATAGAACCTAATTACATTAAAGTCCCCCCCAAGACACCAAGGACCCTCCCATTAGCTTCGTATTCCATATAATTCTTCCCACATCTCATTTCTCTCTCTATACGTGTTTGGCCCATAGACATTGGTTAGAACCCAGGTAAATCCATCCCCCACATTCCTGACCTTTAAAGACACAGAGAATCTCCCTATTAGCTCGTCCACTGATTCTACAACATCCTCCCTCCATAATGTTACTAAACCTCCAGAGGCACCCCAAGAAGGGGCCAAGGTCCAACAAACTCCTTTTGATCTCCATACACTTCTGACCCACCTTTTATCCATTTTTTCCAACTTGGTTTCCTGTATCAACACTATGTTCGGTTTCTCTCTTTCTTTTACTGAGAATCTTTCTTCTTCCCCCTCTCCCACTAAATTCAATGTCACCCTCAATATCTGAAATCAATCTCTCCACTTCTGATCTCTTTTTCTTTTTCCTTTTATTGTTACCCTCGATCTTCCTGGATGATGCATTAGCTTCAGCTACCCCTCCCCCCAACTTGGAACTTCTATAGAATTCCTTCTCTTGAGAAATTTCTGCTCTCTTCCTTTGATCTAGTTCCTCCTCCTCTTTGTATTCCTCCAACAACGCACAAATCATCTCCCATATTCTCTCTAATTCCTCCTCCTTTCTCTCTCTAGGGGCCACTTCTTCCCCTCTCAGTTCACTCTCAGAATTGCCGTTCTCTCTTCTCTTTCCCTCGACTAAAAYTTCCGCTCGGGATGCTGGAGTATCTGTTACAAGCATAGAAGGCACATTAATAACCAAAACCGAAAGGACATCCATACCTGTGTTGTTTGGAACCAATGGGCCATCAATCAAGGGAGGGGGATGCGCATAAGGAGAGAGGCCTAAATCTGTTCCCTGTGATTGATCTTGCCTTAGAGAGTTTATAGTAGGAGTCAATACCCTGTCAGCTTTAGCAATTGAACTATTCTTCCTGTGCTTCCCTTCTTCCGGTATTACATTACAGACCAAAGTGTTAGGATTTTTTCTTACC